GCCCTCTTCTGGCCTCTGTGGGCCCCAGGCATTCACATGATGCACATACATGCATGCAGGCAAGACACTCATACATATAAAATAAAACAAATAAATCTAATTTTTTAACTAAAGATTAAAACAAATAAAGAAGAAAGCTCTTTGGGGAATATCATAGTGAAATCCTAGCTATTTCACCACAGTAACTGGCATCAGGCTATATGACTTACAGAGTAATGGAAGAACTGCAAGAAACAACTAAAACCCAACGATCCCAGTTATGCGCTGAAACATTCTAGTACAGCTGTTACCAAACAGCAGCAAGAAAACAAAATATCCATCACTCTGCATATCTGTAACTAATCATCAGGCTCTCTACCCTGAGCCTGGCCACTGTCACAGTCCTTTTCCCACCAGTCCCATGTACTCACTACTGACTTACAGTAAGTGACAGCACAGAGTTCTTTCTGTCTTATCTATTATATATGCAAATATTAGTGGTCTATACTTTTAGTAGTTTTATAAATCACGAAATAGTTTCAAACATATAAAACATGTTAAAGAATAATTTTAACATATCACCTACTTACTCAGCTACAGAGGCAAAATACTATAAATTCAATTAATAATTCACTTGTAATTATTTGTCATTTTAGAAAAAGAGATTAATAGTTACTCTACTCTTACTCTCTTAAGCCTATGTAACTGGCTCCTGGAGTAATTGGTGCCACAGTTCACAAGGGAGTTTTAGGCAACCCCTGACATGTGATTTTACCACCTATAAAATCTCTGCCATTCTTGTTTTTAGCAAAAGAAAAACTCTCCCATATTTCAACAGCAACAGTTATGGGAAAAGTAGTTAGAAAATGACTAGAGGTTTTCTTTCTTGCAGAATCTTCATTCTCTTAGAGACAAAGGCTATCTTCCTTTACTTGTCAGCACAGTTGCATCTCATTTTAACATCAACCCATTTTCTCAAGGCATTTTCACAAACATACCATTAATTCCGTGAGGCCGATGCAGCAGCTATGCTTGTACCCATTTTATAAACATGAAAGAACAAAGTGGTCACCAGCAAATGATGGTGTGGAGCAGAGCTGGAGGCCTTTGGTACCCAACTTCTTAGTGGCATGGCCTTGGACACTTTGCCTAACCTTTCTGAAGAACAAAAAAAGATGATAATGTCTAACTTGTAAAGTAGTTTTAAAATGAGATTAGATGACATACATAAATTACTTTGCACAGAACCTGGTATAAAGTAAGTACTAGTGAGTATCAGCTGCTGCCACCCTTGTGTTAATTATGCAAGGACAAACAGCTCTGCTCAGGGAGCCAAGACCAAAACTAGGTATTCTTCCATTTCTGACAACATTGCTTTTCCCCTCCAACAGTCCGTGGCATTCCCGTCTCTACAATGTATGCTACCATTACCATACACTGTCTCCCCCTTTTTCAGCTAAACACTATAGTGATCTTTTTAGTATCTTAAGAATCAAAAGTCAATAGCAATTGTAACAACTGCTAACACATAAAAGGAAAGCCAGAATATGTCTTGTACCCCTCTCCTCCAAATTAAAACTTAGCCATATTTTTACACCAAAATATCAACTTACATGAAACTCATGGGGCATGGCAACATGGTAAACGCAGGGGGCACGGCAGCATGTTAACTAAATCAAAACCCAGACTACAAATCACCCAAGTTCTTCAAAAGATAAAATTACAAGTGAGGGAGGAGGACAGGGACTTAAGTGTTCTTAACTCTCCCAAAAACCAGGAGATAGTGCAATCTCATGTTCATCTTCCCGAGGAAACAAATACACTAATGACATAACCAGAACATTTAGGAATATTTAGACTTTAGAAAATGTCTTTGTAAATCAACAAATTGACATTTAAAAAAAGATTAACAGCATGTAACCTTCATACTGCCTATGCTATGACCTAATATAAAATTCTTTATCCAGAGAGTATTTACAAAGATTTACAAGTTGTTTTTTATTTTTTTGTTTTGTTTGTTGGATTGGTTGGTTGGTTTTGGATTTTGAAGACAGGATTTCCTCTGCATAGCCCTGGCTGTCCTGGAACTTGCTCTGTAGTCCAGGCTGTCCTCCAACTGCCAGCCTCTGCCTTCAAGTGCTGGGATTAAAGGCCACCACTTCCTGGCAATTTACAAGTTTTTAAAATGAGTCTCACCCCCAAATGTGTAAGAGATGGCTGATGTAAAGATCAAAGGATAAAACAATAAAATACAAGAGAAGTCACAAAGGAACATGTACATAACTGAAGCTTAAAAAACTTCACCCTTTCTACAGGATTAACTATAACAGGAACTGATCTAGAAGCAGCCTATCTATCCACTGTGATGGAAGATGGAAATTTCCTACTTATCAAGAAGTAGTCATCTTAAGGAGAAAATAATGAAAATTAATGTGACATCTCAATATGGGCATGAATTATAATAAAATCAGTCATTTCCATACTATCCCCCAGATATCTGAGACAGCTCCCAGGGTGCATTACAATTTGTGATGGTTTCAATATGAAGTGTGTGCAACAATCTGGTGTTGGAAATGACTTGTCTTCAGCTGGTGGTACTGCTTTGCGAGGCTGCGGAAACTTTGTGGGTGGATATAGATGGAGGGAGCAGGGTATGACTTTGAAAGTCACGCTGGGTCCCTAGCCTTTTTCCTCTCTCTGCTGACTGCCATGAGATGAGTAACTCTCCTCTGCCACATATACCCACTGCCACAATAGCCAAACAACCATGGATGGAACCTATGAGATCATAAGTCAAAATAAATCTTTATCAAAATTGCTTCTGTCAGGTATTTGGTCACATCTACACAACGGTATCTAATAAATAAAAAGAAAGAAATTAAATTGGGAAAAGAGAAAGAAAATGAAGGAAGAATATTAAGACTGAATCAACGGTAAATATACCATATAAACCATATGTCCCAAATTCCCAGACCACTGTAAGGGAAAGACCACCCATTAATCCCTGGGCTCCCTTCTAGAGAGAAACACCATCCATTTCAAGAATTGTGACGACTATGTAATATACACAAGCTGATCAAAGGAAAGACAGCTTTTCCTGACAACAAGATCAGGGGCAATTTTCTACAAGGGTTCTAATATTAGCGATGCTGAAAAGCAATAGAGGGGAAAGAAATAACAATAGCTCATCTTCATTGGATACCCTCCCCCAAGTCAGGCATGTGTTAAGCCTTTTCCTATGGAAACTCAGGAAATGCTCTCATCTTGGCGGAAGTAGTTACAATTCCCGTTACCATCAACAGATGAAAAGCTAAAGCACCAACAGGTGAAGCTACCTGTAACCAGGAAGCAGCAGAGCCAGAAGTCATGTTCAGGAACTCCAGCTCCAGAGACCACGGCCTAACTCTTCAATCATTCATCCTCACCAATAAGGCAAGGACATGAGCATCTGCCTTCAGCTACAAGTACTACTTGTCTATCAAATATTAGCTTATTTGTGTTGAGTGTCAATCCTCCAGATCAGCTGGTTATAGTTCCCGTAGCAGCAGTAGGAACAACACTAACAGGGCACTGTGATAAGGAGATAATGCCTCCACAGAACTCCACAGTAAGAAGAGTAGTGAATTTCACAATGCTGTTTGTTTTAATGACTCTCAATAAATGTTGATTGCATTATACTAAAGAAAGGTCTGCAAGAGCAATTTAACCTCTCTAAAACAATGTAGCCAACACGAATAGTTCTCAGATATTCTGAGAGGCAAAAATTGATTGGCTTTAAAGCAATGTATTGAGTATGTTTTCAGTAATTCTCCAGGAAATGATAATTCTGATTACTAGTTGTATTTTTAAAAAAGTAAGTAACAGCACTGAAAGCAGATATACACTTGCTGAGTGAAGCTAACTGATAACATGAGTGTGTGTGTGTGTTTCACAGTCAATCAAGTTTGGAATAATATTTCCTTATAAAAATTAAGAAATCAATAACATATCAAAGCAGGCAGACAATCTACCTTTCAAAGCTGCTAGCCAAGAAAGTAAATGGCAGCAGCTCACCTCTGAAAACAATTCTGAGTAGTTACCAATTAACTAGCAATCAGTTCATTCACAACATTCAACAACACAAAGTGTTGCTAGGAATTGAACACAGGACCTTGTATATACTAGAAAATGTTCTACCACTAGGCTACATCCTTAACCCTTGGTTTATGTTTAAGACAGATTCTCATTAGTTATGTGGATTGGAACTCAATGGCTAGCCTCCATCTGGCAATTCCCCTGCTTTAGCCTCCTAAATTCTGAGACTACCAGGCTTGGCTGGAATGGTCATAAAATTTTGACATTGAAAATTTTCAAAGAGTTTCAAAAATTCAGCACAACTGTAAAATTAACTCAGTTAAAGCACCTATGGGGTATTTAACTGACCTCTGCAGATATCTAGTTATTAAACATGTTAACTAAATATCCAGAGATGTATGTAAAAATAAATAAGAGCTTTGAAGTAGATTTCATTACCTCTAAAAGAACTAATTAGCAGTATTCCAAAGCCATCCCTCGTTGGTGTAAGCATAACTACAACGTTAGTATATTAAGGCCATGAAAGAAACAATTCATTTAAAAAAAAAAAAAAAGGGCAAGCATGTCAAGAGGACAGTGAACAAATATGAATAGTAGAACTTTAGTGGGAAAACCCAAAATACAATAAATATTTGCTAAGATTATCAGCTTTCCCAATAGTCAAGGCACCACAAACTATAAGTTACCATTTTCAACCAGCAGATATGTACAACTAGAGATGGCTGATAACACGCAGAGCTGACAGAGGTGAGGAAAGCAGCTGCTATTACATTTGGGAGTGGGAATGTAAATTAATGTAGCCTTTGGGGGTACAATTTGAATGAACATCAGGTTTTATATGTATATATCCAATAGCCCCATGGGAATGTTCTCATACATATGAAACAAATACAAGTTTACTGAAATGTATTTTGCAACAGAAACACTATTTATCTTGGGAAGGCAACATGGTTCAGCTGGTAAAGGAGATTGATGCCAAGCCTGGGGACCTGAGATTCCAGGTGGAGACTGACAAGGAGAGAACTGACTCCAACAAGTTGTCCTCTGACTTCCAAGAGCATGCCAGCACACATATGTGCCCAACACATATAACAAATGCATACAAATTAAGTAAACATTTCTAAAAAGCAGGTATTCAAAACAAAACTTTATCTTATTCATCAAAAGGATGTTGGCTAAATAATAACATAATATACATTCAATTGTAAAGTTAGGTAGTCATTGAAAAGATAAAATGACTTCTCCATAGTCTAGCATACAAAAATACTTATGGGTGTAAAAAAAAAGGCCAATAACTTATAAGGTATTTTTTGTGTGTCTGACTGAATGTGTATGTGTTTGTGAATATGTGAGCAACATATGTAACAACAGGAATCTAGATCAGTCAAGAGTCTTTTGATTCCAAAAGCCAGACACCCAATTCACACTAGCACATACAAATTAAGCAACCAAATAGCTCATTTAACTAAAAATAATGGGTAAGTCTTATTTAAGGTTCTACAGGATCCAAAGGCTCTAAAGATTCTCTATGCTTATGCACACAAAAGTATATAAAAGGGTGAGTGTGTATGAAGGAACCTCTGGTTCAGTCAGTCTGTGTGCTGGCCTCTCGTAGTGTACAGATCTGAAGTGTTCATCGTTAGGCAGAACCTAGTTGGAAGGACCCTTCCTCTTTTTCTGCTTTCTGGGTGCCATTCAGTGTCCAGCTCTGCTCTGCTATATGACCCCTGAGGCCATGACCCTCTGACTCACAGCAGCCTAGAAAGAACAGACAAAAGGCTAAGGTCTAACACCACAAGTCAAACTAAACATTTCCTCCTTTGAGATGATATTCTCCTTTATTTTGTCAAAGTGATGGAAAACTAACAGCCTCATTCTTTAACACAGCAGAAGTGTAACCCTCATGGTACTCGTCTGTTTTCATTCAGTTCAGCAACTCCAATGAGATAAGCCTGGCTCCCTCATCCTAAGTGATTTTGAATCACAGGCAATTACACTAAAACTGTTTTACTCATATAGCCATCCATTCTACAACAATCAATATGTCCAAGGGAATGGAGTATTATAAAAGATCATGTTAGCACCTAAAATAAAAAAATAGAGAACAGGTACTAAGAGAATATACTAACATATGTTATGTAATTTTACTACAATTTCACTTCCTAATTCTATGTACTTTCACTTATTTGAACTTACTATTAGAATGCAGTCAAGTATTATATATTA